GAGCTGGGGTCCCATTGGAAGAGGCAGGTCCCTGGGGGCACGGTCTGGAAGGGTTTGTCTCCCTCTTGATTCCTCCACTGACTGCCTCCTGGCCACCATGAGGTGAGCAGCTCTCCTCTGCGGAGGCCCTCCCACCATGCTGTTCTGCCTTGGAGTAAGTCAGATATGGATTGAAACCTCTACAAACTGTGAGCCAAAATAAACTTCTCCTTCTTTAAGTTTTGGGTGTTGGGTATTTTGTTCCAGTGACAAAGAAAGTGACTAAGACAGTTATCTAATTAGAGCCCTTGATTCATAGTTATTTACTGCCTTTTGTATGCTAGCAGTTAGACAATGACAATGCTCTTTATTTTTTCTTTCTCGGTACTGGGAATTGAACTCAGAGCCTTGTGCTTGCCAGACAGATAACTGTGCCACTGAGCTATATCCCCGGGCCTAGACAATGTTCTAGAAGCTGAGGATATAATAGTAAGGGACAACTAAGTCTCTGTTCTCATTGAACTTACAGCCAAATAAGCATGGAAGAAGCAAAATTCCTGACAAGGGAAAGATTGTCTGGTGCTACGCATAAGGAAGAAAAGGTGGATGAAGGTGCAGTTGGGGGACGCTACTGTGGACACATTGGACAGGGACTGTGTCTCTCCTAGGTGCATTTGAGGAGGGACCCGCATCGAGTGATGTAGCGAGTGCTGGGGCAGGTCTTGTGGTCCAAAGCAGTGGTCTTGGAAGACAGAGTTGGAGTGGATCTGTGGCCAGGCAGGGGCCCATCAGCCTGGAGCAGCAGGCTCCAGGGAGGAGTGGTAGGTGGGGAAATCTGAGAGTTATTTAAGCCAAGATCAAGTAGATGGGAAGCTGCTGGAATTTTTAAGCAGACGAGTGTGTGGTGTAGTGCAGGTTTTAAAATAATTGCTCTGGCTGCTGAAGGTTGAAGAGTTTATAGCTGGGTGCCAGCAACAGCAGGAAACAGGAGCCTGCTGCAGGAGGCCGGGTAGGCGAGACGGTGGCTGAATTAGGCAATGGTGGGGCATTACTCAGGTAGCGCATAGGTGAGCCAACAGAGTTTCTTGATGAGTTGTGGTGTGTGAGAAAGAAAAAAGAACTAGATACGATTTCAACCTCTTTTCTGAGCAAGTAGGAGAATAGGACTCTTATTTACTTAAATGAAAGGGAACAGATTTTGGAGGGACAAGAGAAATGGATTTGGAGATGGTAGTTTTTGATTTTTTTGTTTTGTTTGAGTTACAATTTCACTATGGAGCCCAGGTTGGCCTGAAACAGGTGAGCCTCCTGCCTCAGCCTGTCAAGTGCTGAGATTAAAGGCATGTGCTACCACGTCTGGCTCACGACTCACTTGAGATCCGATTAGACATCCAAGTGGAGTTGCCAAAGTGGTAACTGGTTATAAGAACCTGCAGTTCAGGAAAACAGGAGACGTTTATAAGTGGGGGCTCGGGTGGAACCCAAAGACTCCACTCATTTTTAAGTTTCATCTTGCTGTCCAGAGATGGTCTTCAGGAGCCATGGGAGCTGTGGAACATCAGGACGTGCTCTGAGTCATGGATCACAAGAACTATGGAATATCTCTACTCTGTCCCTAGGTCCAGCCAGAGACTCATCCTTAAGAAACCCTTGTGAAGGGCCTCCTGCAAGCCCTGCCAGATGACAAGTGTGGATACACATATAGTGAAGAAAAAGCCACAGTGGCTGTCTTCACAAAATGTTTCCTAGGGGATAAGGCCAAGAGAATGGAGATGTTAGTACAGCGATTCAGGGGTAAGATGTGGATGCTGTTGGACACAAAGGAGGGGCATGGCTACCTTTCATGGGGCCAGAAAGAGCTTCCCTGAGAACATGCTACGGGTGAGTAAGGGGAGCTGGGTAAAGGGGTGAAAGGGGGCATGGGGCGAGTTCTAGGAGAGGCAGCAGCACAGGGAGTCTGCACAGGTGAAGGAGAGAGGGAGGGGCAGTCTCAGACTCAGCACCCTACTAGTGACCTAGGGATGTGTCCACATAATAAGAGGCAGGGCCCTGGTCTGTTTTGCTTAACCTCCACTAGTGGCAGATACTCCCCAGAGAGCCAATTCCTTTGATGGAGATGAGGGAAAAGACGCCAAGACCTTAATGGTGTGTGGGGGGTAGGATGTGGGAGAAAGCAGGGTTGGGGGTGGTTCTGAATGGGATGCACCCTGGGGTAGAGCAAATGGTAGTTGTGGGGGAGGGATGTATCAGGCACAGGAGTGGAAGCCAGCAGTGAGGCTCTGAAGCGTGTAAGGCGTGTGCTGAGCAGTGTGAGTTCAGGAAGGGCCCGGATTCCACGTCACGCATTGATTGCTGGTCACGTGTGCTTGTGGGGCTGGATGTGTGTGATTCCATGTTCTCCCCGACTCGGTGTGGAGGTGCAGAGCTCTGGAATGCACGCCATGCAAGTACCTACCTGCAGGAAAGGGATTTGCATCCAGCCTATGCTGTGAGCATATGCCTTGCATGGCTGGGGTTGCCCAGACTGCATCTCAGAGTGAACAAGCTACTGGGGCTGCTGGGGATGGGAGAAGCTCTGGGCTCATTCAGCACAGGGCAGGCACGCATGTAAACATTTTGGTTTTATTAGTCATTTTAGGAAATGTATAGCTTTGGTTAAAAGTTTGCACTAGACGTTTTAAGAAAAATAAATTCACAGCCAGACACCAGTATCTGTTTAGAAAATCAAGGGGTTTATATCCTGTGATGGAGCTGAGCCAGAGCCCTACTTCAAAGTCTAAAATATTCCCCATTCTGTTTCATTCAACAAACATTTCCTGAACATCTCAGCCCACAGGCAACACCTAGGCTTTGCTGTAGGGACTCAGTTCCCTTTCCTCTGAGCCACCTTAACCTGGGTGCTACAGTTAAAGCTTAGTTCTGTGTTATTTGTATTGTTCCTTAATTGTTGGAAGGACAGTAATTCTCCTCCTTCGTGGGTGTGTGACCCTCAGGACAGGGCCTATGCAGCAGTGTTTGACAACAAATGGAAACATGGACATGAAACTGAATGGATGGGATTTATTCCTTTCATAATAAAATCTAGAATCCCAACCTGCCATTTCTGGGAAAGAGGAGCTTTGCGTATTAATGGAACTGGTGCGGTCCCACACCTTGTTCCTCTTAATGAAAAACAGAGCTCTTTCCTTTAGGATGACAGTTGAAAGGTAGCAGGTTTTGACGAATTACTCCAGAGCAGAGTCTTCCTTGGGCAGGACAAGTCAGAAAGGGGTGCTACTGACATTTTAGACAAGGCCACTCTTTGCCCTTGGGGGCTGCCTTGTTCCCTAAAGAAGTTTAGTAGCATCCTAGGCTCTGTCAGCCTAAATCCAGTAGGCTGCAATTCCTCCCAGTTGTGACAATCAAAAATGTCCCCAAACATTGCTAAGTGTGCCCTGAGAGCAAAATCAGCCCCAGTTGAAAACCCGCATCCTCTAGGAATTTTGGTTCGGGTAATTTTCTTATTTGGCACATTGTGGGAAACAGTTCGAGCTGATTTGCAAGGCACCATCTCTGCACGATTTTATTTCATCTTCCAGATAAACAGGCTGATGTCCCAACTTGAAGGCCCTGCTGAAGGTCACGAAGCCAGGTTAGCAGTTAAGTGGGTTTACCTTTGCTGAAGAAGCAGCAGGCCTGAAATTGTCCTGTGGTTTCAAAAATCAGGTCGCAAAATATTTTTAAACTTTTTTTGGCTGGGGAGGTATGATTCCTCTTGTATTCATTAAATTCACAATATAAATAGATACAGTGTGCCCTCAAAATAGACACCCTGGTTCCTGTACTACAGTTGAGGCTCTGGTCTTATCTAGAAAAAACAGAGCAACACAATGGAAGGGCTTCAATTCTGCTTGTTACAAATTATCCAAAAGCCAGGGCCTGATGGTGCCAAAAGCAACCAGTATTGTTTACATAAAGGTTGAAGGCTAATAGTTAACTTTCTCCCATTTAATTCCAGAATCGGTAAATAACGCCTTGCCTTACAACTACAAACCAGGGAGATGTCATAAAGTGGGGAAGAGAACACTCAGAAGCAAATGGAAAGGTTGGTTTTCCTCCCTCCCGCTGCGCTGTGCCGAGCTGCTACCGAAGCCTCAGGCCCCCATTGCCTGCTCCAAGCTCTGGTCCCCCAAGCCAGCCAGCCCGCAGTTTTCTGGCTTCCTTTCCCGCCCTGGGGCAAACTCGGCCTGTCTCAGAGAAGCCTGTCCCGGAGCCAGGCCTGGAAAGATAACAGCAAGAAACTTTGGCAGGGTTTGCAGCAGCTCAATTAAAAAAGAAAGAAAGAAAGAAAGAAAGAAATGCACACCCTCAAGTTTGGTTCGGGGCTGCACCTGTGGGTTCCGATTTGGGGGCGGAGGCGGGGGGCGGGGGGAGATCACCACTCGGTCAGGTTCAAGTGCGCATGTGCCCGGAGGGGCCTGGGCACTTATTGAGTGCCAACTGTCTACCCGGGGTGCGCCTCTCCTGCGCGCGGAGGTGGGGTGCGGGGTCAGGGTGGGCGCGCGCCTGGGGCGGTGGAGGGAGGGCAGAGGTGGGGGAAAGGGACAGAGGAGGAGGGAGCGGGGAGGAAGGGAGGCAGGGGGCGTGCCCCCGATCGGGGCTGGCGGCAAGCCGCTCCCTTCCCGGGCCCGCGATCCGGGCCGGGTTGTGGCCGCGGCCGCGTACGTGAGCGCTGTGTCCCGGGTAGGGAGGGAGGCCGGCCAGGTGGGCGCGAACTGAGCCGGCGGAGGGCGGGCGGCCGGAGAGAGCGAGCGGGCCGCGCCGGGGAGCGGAGGGCGCGGGGCGGGGCGGGAGGGCGCGGGGCGGGGCGGGAGGGCGCGGGGCGGGGCGGGAGGGCGGCGCCAGCTGCAGCCGGAGCGGAGCGCGGGGAGGTGAGCTGCGCGGGCCGCTGCGCTGCAGCCTGCCGGGGGTGCCGAGCGCTTCCCGTGCGGTGCGCGCCCGCGGCGGGCAGGGTCCGGGGGTCCTGGGGGGCCAGGGGCGGGGCGCGGGGGGCTCTGCGGCAGTGGCCGCAACGGCCGGGTGGCCGAGGGGTGGGGGCCGTGGGGGCCGCCTGTCCTCTCCAGCGCCGCCTTGTTTATTTCGCGGGCGCCTGTGCTTCCGACCGAGGACCCTCCCAGCTTTGAGCGGGGGTTGGCAGTCGCCTCTCCGAAGGACCCTGCACGGGGAGCCCGGCCCTTCCATGCCTCTTTCTGGCCTGACGCCCCGCTCGCGCCTGTCCACTCCGCGACACACCCTCCTCCTGGCGGTTTGGCCCCGCACCCTCTCTCAAGCCTGCTTTGGCCACTACTTTCTCTGGCCCGGTGCCTTCAGCCTGGCTCCCCTCACCCCATGTGCGGGTGGGGGCCTGGACAGGGAGTTTGGCATGTGCAAACAATTTCAGAGGCAGCGTTTCCTTCCCTGCCTCGGAGTTTAGATCTGTGCCTTCCATTGCGGCTGGTGGAGAGAGATCTAAAGGAGCCCACCCTCCAGGTGGTGGGCACCGCCACGCCTCCTGTTTGTTGTCAGCCGGGCCGGCCGGTTCTGGGGCTCTGGAGACTCCCCAGGCTCTCGCACTCCTGCAGTGCAGCCAGGGAAGGCACTGGGTATCTGCAGGCCCTCACTGCTTTCTTCACACGGGCTGTGCAGGAAGGTGTGACTGGGACAGTTTGCTTCAACAGGTATTGAAGGTCTGGGACACTTTCCCCGGGTGTTGTGTAAACAGAGCCTGAGGAGCCTTGAGACAGAGCAGTTATGTTGGACTCCACTGGTCCTTCTGGGAGCTGCTGTGTTCTCAGCAGGACCCCTGGCTTCCTGGGAGATGTCAAGTGGTACCCAAGAAATCTAAGGCCCCAGGAAGCCTAGTCTGCTAGGTGGAAATGACTTTAAGAACTCAACTTCAGATGCATGAGCCATGGCTTCCCGAGTTGGTGAAGGCCAGGAGCCACAGCAGAGAGAGGAAAAGTCCGAGTTGGGGCAGGCGGCCTAGTTTTGGAGGAAGGTGTGCCTGTGGAGGATGACTCCGTGGCAAGACCCAGAGTCCACAGGAGTAGCAGGTAGAAAGGGCCAAGAAAGGAGGATCAGAGGAGCAGTTATGGAGGAGGGAGGATACAGAAAATAAATGAAGCTGGCATGTAGCACAGCAGTGGTGCCATACTTGCCTGGCATGTGCAAAGCCTGGGTTTGATCCTTGGCCTTGGGACTTGTCATCTTGTGCATAGCACGGGAAGACAGGCAGTTCGGAAGTAAGACCTCCAGCTAAGACACATGAACTGTGTGGTGGGCAGGTGCAGACACAGGTGCTGTTGCCGGTCAGAGGAGGGCGCTCTCGGAGACCCTCGAGATGGTGACAGGGTGACCATGAGCATGACCTTGGCCATCTTGCGTGTTTCCTGAAGATGGAGAGAACAGTGGTTGAGATTGTGCAAGTCCTAGAAAATCAGACTGGGGAATTGCTGTTCTGTCTGTGTGTCCTGGCAGACATTAAAAGTTTTAGGGTCAGGAAGGACTGCAAGGAAGGGGTGTTTGGGAAGGATTTTGAAAGTAATGTTAGGAGATATGTCAGCTAGTAAGCTACTGCACTCCAGGAGTGCCCAGGGTTTGCATTGGATTTAACTGGAAATGAAAAAAGGGTGCGTGTTAGAGACATTACCATTGACATAGTCTGCTGACAGGGCCAGGGTGAAGGGAAAAGATGAATGAAAATTAATTCTTTGTGGAAATTGATTATATGCCAGGGTCTTAGAGCCACTGTAGCTGGCAACTCGAGAAATCGGAAATGTGTGTTTTGCAGAGAAGTAATTGACACTCAGGCTGTGTGGAAGTTTGTGTGTTTGCCAGGATATCCAAGTGTAAGTGCTCTGCCAGCAAGTCCTGCACAGGGCTTCTTGAGAACCCCAGGGATAGAGTGTTAGAGAGAGCAGGCATTCGGTGGTCAGAGAGGTAGCTGAGGATGTGTGGCCTTGGAGGTCTGTTTGTTAGGGTTGGGATCCTGCAGTTCAGGCTGGCCTGGAACTCACTGGGCAGCCCAGGCTGGCCTTGAACTCATGGCAATCCTCCTGCTCTGCCTTCCAAGTGCTGGGATTACAGGCATGTACCACCTGTCATTTTCACCTCTTTGTGTTGCTGCCATTTACATGACACTGCCTGGTCTTGACCTTGAAGTTGGAGAAACAAGTCTGAAGAATCGGGCTTCTGGGAAACTGGGGCCATTTATTCTAGGCATGCGGGTGCATGCAGTTGGAGGTTGGAGAGAAGCAGCATAGGATTTGCTAAAGGTGTATATTGTTGGACTTGGAAGTGTGTTGAACTTTGAACTCCACCAGGATCTTCAGGCTAGTCTCATGTTTCATTCCTGCAGGAGAGAGGGGGTGGGTTGGCTTTTCCTAGCCCATGCTGTCGCCCATTCCCAGGAGTCTGGGGACCTGCACACGGAAGGGATCGGGTGCTTTTTTGCTGAGTACTGAATTGTGCTTTCTTGTTGCACGGCTGACTTAGGGTGATTTGCTGAACAAATTCCCCAAGCCTCAACTTGCAACATCTGAATTTGGAGGATGATTGCAGAAGGCTGCAGAATGAGCCGAGAATGTAACTAGTGACTTAGCCTCCTTGTTTCTCAGAGCTGCAGGATAGGTGCACTGGTAGGGGAACAGGACTTAGGGGAGGAGACCTGCAGGGGTGTGGATCAGAATATTTTTTTTCTTTATGGCAAATATCTGACTGCGTGAAAAATAATTGTATGTGAGTGAGCAGTGGTTGAGCTCACTCATTCTAGAGCAATGTTTTCTGTACTGTTCTGGCTCTGACCTACATTAAGAAACAAAATTTACATTATGACCCTGTACATACAGCATTATGTTACAATCTAATTTCAGTTCATGCAGGACTACCTCCCTTTGCGTGGTCCCATCTCCTTGAACATTTGGGGGGGAGGCGTCTGTTTTATTGTTTTTCATTAGAAGAGCAGTTGTTAGCTGGGCATGGTAATACATGCTTGAGAGGGACATTGAGACAGGAGGATTGAAAGTTCAAGGCCATCCTGAGCAACTTAGGGAGACCTTTTCCAAAAATCAAAACAGCTGTTGCTCCTAAGTTCATGGAGTTATTCTCTGATGAAGTAGTGGGTCACAATGCATGAACGGTTTGAAAAGCGCAGAGAGAGTTTTCACATTCAGTAAACATTTATTAAGTCGTGAGTGTGCGAACATACCCTTCCCAGTACTGAAGGTAGAAAGGTACAAATGAGAGATAGAAACTGTTCAGCCTTTTTGGAGGTTTAAGGCACGGCTTGGATTAAGGAGCAGGGCAAGATGATTAAATGCCAAAAATGAAAAACAAATGCCTGCGGTGTATGAAAACGGGGTGGTAGCCAGGGATTTAGTTCAGTAGCATAAGCGCCTGCCTGGCAAGTTCGAGGTTGTGAGTTCAATCCATGGTACCCAAAAAAAAAAGGAAAAAGGGATCATGATATGTGCAGTGTAGATAGAAAAAACTCTTGGGATGAAGGAAGTCTGGGGTGAACAGTTTGGGTGTCTCAGATGTCGCATGGGAGAAACTCATGTGTGCAAGTTAGGAGTTAGGAGCGAACACAGCATGTGTGTGTGGATGTGAAGAACATGGGACTCTTGTGGTAGAGCAGGGGGAAATTAGATTGGAGAGGTAGGAAATATAGTTCTTTATTAAGAGGGGATTTGTAGAAATTTCCAAGCCTTTATGCTGTTACAGTTTGGATAGCATAAAGGCTTTTAAACATTAAGAATAATCCGAAAAACTTGTGGCTTTTTAAAAAGAGTCAGATCTGACCGTCATTTCCAGCAGAGAGGTGGTCATTGCCTATGGAAAGGGTCAGGTCTGCTGCTCCCAAGCATCATGATTCCAGCATCCTCTCTTGCCTGCCTGGGTCCAGTTGCTTGGCATTCCTCGCTGTGTCCCATCGGCATTTGGCTTTGTGACCTCAGTTTTCAAGTCTTGGATGCCATGCTGGAGAATGTGTGCTGCTGTCACAGGCCATGGGTGCCCCCCTCCCCACCCCAAGGATTCTGGCAGGAGCCAGAGACTGGAATCTGAGGATTCCAGCACCATGCTTTGCTTTAGGCCAGTGAGCAGCTCTCGCTGGGGAGCTGCTGGCTGGGCCTTGGAAATATTTTCATGATGAACAGCATGGTATTTACTAGACAGGGCTTTGCCTTGTCATCTAGAAAGCGAGGCAGACTTCTAGTGATCTGAAGTTCTCTCCTGCCTCTACTTCTGGCTGGCGTGATTAGATTGTGGCTCCTGGCATGTCGCTCTGAAAGGGATGTTGGGGTTGCGAGTTGTGAGTCACAGCTGTCAGTTGCCTTGCGACATTAGATTCTGAGATGCTTTGGTTCTGTGGGCCCATAAAAGAAGACCAAGGAGAAGAGGGAGCTGCAGCGGGGAAGGGTGCATAGTCTGGAGAGGTTCATAGTGGCTGCAGAGTAGCTGGCTCAAGCCCAGGTATTAATGCATATGGCTACAGAAGAGTAGGTGTGTTTGGGGCAGTTGGTATGGGAAGTCTTTATGGCTGAGAACACTCTGGCTTTTCCTGGAGTCCTAACTAACCACCATTCAGAGCTCCACCCAGGTGAGCTGCAGGTGAGGGGCTGACCAATCGTTTCCCTGCTTTTTACAGGTAGGACAAAATTTACCTAAAAGTATTGCTTTTTTACTTTTTTTTTTTTTTTAATAACACACAGATACAAGTTAGGAGTTTTCTTAAAAGCATATGGCCATAGGATGCAAGAGTACCTAGAAGTCAGCTGAATTATATCAAGTTGAATCTATTTCCTGTTTTATGTGATGTTTTGCTTACTAAACCAGAAGGGAATGATGCAGCAGCTCTGGTATGTTTAGTTTTAGTAAAGTAGTTCACAGTTTCTTAAGATACACTGATTTTGGCTTGGGTTTGGGTTGAGTATAAGGAAGATGTGTTTGTCTGATTTGGAGGCACGGAGCTGGGAAGGACTGCTTAGTCTGTAGATAAATCAGAGTCATCTAGAATGAGGACCTCAAATTAAAAAGAAAAAGAGCCGGGTGTGGCGGTGCACGTCTGTAATTTCAGCTAATTGGGAGACTGAGGCAGGAGGATTGCAAGTTCCAGCCCTGCTTCGGTAACTGTGAGCGTCTTTCTCTAAATAAATAAACAAATGGGGCTAAATAGGGTTGTAGCTCACAGCCCCTTCCCTCATTTCTGTAAAGAATAAAGATGAAGCATGGTTTAGTTTTACAGATTTGAGCCGATGTCTCAAGATGGCCAAATAGTCTAATAAGATAATTATTCTTCTGGGGATGTAGCCGAGACAAAACATGAAATATAGATGATGTTTCTATGCACCCATCATTCAGATTTTTTAAAAACTCTAGTAAAAAATTGGTAACAACCTATATTTCCACTGGTGTGGGCTGTAGATAGTGGATAGGTGAATTCCAGTGGATATGCCTTTAAAATGGAGGTTTATGAAGTTATGCAAAATAATATTTAGGAGCAATTTAAAAGATAACCAGGGAGGATGTTTCTGGTAAAAGTTACAGTGTGCCTACCATCTAATTCCAAAGGTTAAAAAACATGCCTAGATAATAACTGGAAGAAAGTGTCCTAATAATACCAAACCTCCGTTGTTTCTAGATGGGTTGAGCTAAGTGACTTTCTCTTTTTCATGCTTTTAAATTTATCATTTGCTAGTGGGGGAAAATACCGCTACTTTAAACACTCTTGTTGTTTGAGGACAGGATGGAGTAGATGATTCATGTAGAGATTATTGTTGAGTACCTACCTGCCCCTTGTCAAGTGTTGGCATAGATACCAAGCTCACAAAATAACACCCAGCACCTGACTCTGGCACAGGCCACTGTGGAAGGCCAGGCTATCTGGTGGAAAGTCTTGTTTTTTTTTCCCTGTCATTTATGAGTTCATTGTGGAGTCCTCAGTGTGTTGAGGCTTTCCAAATATCAAAGCCAGTGGAGAATCCCAGGATCCAGTCTTAATGACCTTGGTCATACGACCTCTGGACTCCTGGGGTGATTTCAAAGGCACCTGAGCATCAGGACTTGATCCACGAAGAGAGAATAGGGTGATGGAGACTCAGGAGTGACCGGTGTGGGCTTGTGGAGGAGGTCTGCAGTAGTGCCTCTAAAACGCTTTCATGGTAGTCAGGTGTAGGGAGGACCACACGTGTTCATTTTTTTTATTTTTGGTACCGGGAATTGAACTCATGACCTTGTACTTGCCAGGCAAGTGTTTGCGCCTCTGAGCCAAATCCCTGGTCCTAGGTTTGGCGCCATAGGTAAATTCCCAGGGGCGGGGAAGATGATGTCACGGTAATTTCCTAGGGGTGGGGGAGATAGGAGCTTCCTGGTTCCGGTTGAGGCTTTTCTTGCTACAGAGTCCTGTCTGGGCCAAAACCCTTTCAATTTAATTTGACATAATCTCTTTAAATGGTTGGCAGCGATCATTCCATACAGTGAGACACCTTGGGAGAGCGCCCCACCCCATCTCTCTCCAGTGCTGTTCAGGGCTCCGCCAGCCACCTCAGCACGCTTTTGTGCAGTTAGGAGCCATGCAGCCGTGTTCCCGTGGCACAGCTACTTACACATCTTTTCTGAGCCTCACTAGCTTATTCTCTGTGTGTTTTGTTTCTATAGGTAGGGCCTGAACAAGCTTTGTTTCTTTTAACTTCAATTAGATTTTATTGGTACATTTGGGACATACCTAATGATCATCTTAGAGGATTTGTACCTATACATAGTAAAGTTTTCTTTCCCATTCCCCTCCCTCCCTTCAACGTTCCTCCCCTTACCATTTACAAACTTTCCTTTCCACGTTTTCTTTCTGTTTTGTGTTAAGTAATCAGATTTACAGTCTTTTCCCTTTTTGCTTCTTGATTTTTGAGACATAATCAGGAAAGACCTGTTGAGTACATAGAAAAAAATCACCCAACGCTTTTTTGATATAGTCATCTTTGTTTCTGCCATCAGTTGCGGATCCTTTTAATCCACACTGTGAATAAGGAGGGGAGGCTCCGTCACCTACAATGCCAGCCACCTGCCACCGCGGCCCTGGCTCTGAGGTGACCCGCCGTGCCCGGGGTCTGCACCCTGAACTTCGACGCGTGGCCCTGCCCCACCCGGGCGAAGGTGCCAGCCAGGCCAGCAGCCACGTAGCGGCGTGCCAGGCCTGGTGCCCAGGTCCAGCGGTGAAGGCGCCTGAGCTTGGTGCCCTAGTGCAGCTACTCGCCAGCCTTGCTCTGCGGCCCCGGGACCCTGCCCCCGGCCGCGCTCACTGGGCGCCCCACCCGCCGGCCACGTTCATTGGACGCTCCACCCGCCGGCCTCGTTCATTGGACGCTCCACCCGCCGGCCTCGTTCATTGGACGCTCCCGCCCCGCCCCGCGCGGTGCCCAGCGTTCGCCCCGCCCCCTGTGTGAAGGCTGCAGCTTTGTGGTCGTCCTGGAGACCCTGTTACCTATGTTTATGATTCATAGCACAGCACGAAGCGGAAGGTGTAGCAGTGCGGTCCCGCCCTCTGCTGCCACTGCCACTGGGAAAGACTTCTTTGCCATTGCCGGGTCCGGCCCGGTCCGGTCGGGTCCGGCCGTGTCTGCAGGGAGCGGTCCTTCGCGATGGACGCGGTGTCAGCCACTGTAGCCGCGGTCTTCGTGTCCCCGGGCAACCCCGAGCTGCTGAAGCCCCCGTCGAAGCTGTACTCGGCCCTCGTAGCCCTGCTACTGCAGGTGAGGCGGGGGAACCAGGGTAGGGCGAGAGGCGCGGGTCCGCCGGTGGGACGGTCCCTTCTTCGAAAGAGCTGTACCCCTCGGGCACGAGCGTGGTGTGGACTGCAGAGGGCCGGGCTGTCCTGAGGGAGCCGCATGGGGCGAAGCCAACCATCACCTTGGGAGCCACCCTGTTCACGCCCCACCTGTTTCCTCGCACAGATGGTTTCGTGAGGGTGCAGCGAATTGAGACGCAGCATCCTGGAGGAGTGATGCCTGATTTGTGGCGATCATTGTCATAGTGCTTTTGTTTGCAGACGCACAAACCGATGGCTTCTATCATGTATTTACAATGTGGTGTGTGTGTGTGTGTGTGTGTGTGTGAGAGAGAGAGAGAGAGAGAGAGAGAGAGAGAGAGAGAGAGAGAGTGAGCACGTGTGCAGTAATAGAAAACAGCTCAAGCATGATCTGGGCCATACGTGAGACACCGCGATGAAGAAGGGCCTGTTGGCCAACTGGGAAATAGGCTCAACTCACTCCCTAAGTTTAGAGACTCCACATACGGGACAAGAACGCGAGCCTGCCTGTATCCCCCTTCTGGAAGTTTCTTCAGGGCACCTGGAAGTTGGTTTAGACTATTGAGAGTAGATTGAGACTATCTGTGATGAACCTTTGTGATTGCTCCGCCAGTTCTGTTAACGTTTCCGTTATTTGTCCCTTCCTTTTCAGCTGGTTGCAGTGTTACCTGAGGATCTCCAGCCCGGGCCTCACTTTTATGGGCTTCCCTGGGAGCCTGTGTTGCTCACTACCTGTGTTGGAATCCTTATGCTTGCGATTTTCTTGTGGAGGAGTGTTCTTCCAGTGAGTGAATTAACTTGTTCTTTGACTTCTGAATATATTGAGGATTCTATGTATCATTGGCCCTTTCAGTTATTAACATAAACAAATCAGTGGTTATAATTCAAGTTAGTTTTCTGAAATAATTTAATCTTGGTACTGGCAAAGACTTAAGAGCAAGCTAACCATATCCACTTGTTAGTAGAGTTGGTGAGTCTTACAGCCATCCTGAAAAGCAGTTTCATAATTCTATATATCACAAGCCTTTAAAATGGGATACAAAACAGGATAAGAAATATAAATTGCTTTTATGTGGTATGATAACGTCAGTAAATGATCTTAAAGAAATAAATTACATGTTAAGATTTTATACAAAGGTATTAGATGTAGTATTTAATAGAATAATAACTTGGTGAAACCTAAATGATGTATATTAGGGAATATCATGTTTTATCTTATTTATATCCACAGAACAGAATATTAGGCTGCTGTATGTATTTCAAAGGCAGGGGCAAAGAAGGTGTTCACGATTTAATGTGAAGTGGGAAAAGTGGAAACAGACCGTGAGGTATTGATGAACTGTGTTGTAGAAACATACAGGGCAAGAAATACAGTAAGATGGTAGAAACGTCCAGGCAAGATCAGGCAAGTGGTGTGTGTATTCCTGCAGCCCTGGTGGAGAGGGAGGCTGAGACAGGAGAAGTGCAAGTTTGAGTCCAGCCTGGGTGACCAAGTTGCCAAGAGCCTGTCTCAAGAATAATGGGAAGGCTGAGAATGTAGTTCATTGTGAAGGCCCTGTCCCAGGTACCACCAAAAACAACCCCAAAACAGCGCCTATGAAAGATTCCTGTGAGGACTTCTGGAATCTCGCTGAACAGCTTCTTGGATGAGAGAACGCCTGGAAGGGTAAGCGGAAGTGTTTGGGGGTGAAAAGGTGCTGTTTCCCCTGCTCCTCTCCTTTGGTTCCCCTGCAGCTGCTACCCAGCAGGGCTCTCAGGCTCAGCCCTGCAGCTTCCCACCCTGCCCCTGGGCTCACTTCCTCCCACTCCCTGAGGTCACATGGCTCTGAGGCCCACTCCTGATCCTGGAGAGGACAGTCGCGCCCCCCCCCCAAGCTGGCCACTGTGCTCTGCTGTCCTATACTGTTTATAGCACTCGGAAGGAGAAGACAGAGTCTGTGTTACAGAGAAGTGCAGTGATCGCCACTGTGGTATTTAATTAGTTACAGTTTAGGATTTATGACCCCAGAAGGCGCTGGGAGGAAGAACTGGGTCTGTGCTCTTCCTGGAAGCCGTTAGCTGTCATTTCTCTGTGTTCTTCTGGTGTCTTCCCTTCCGCTTAGATTTATTACTGTTTTTGTGGTCTGGGGAAATCAGATGAAGAGGTGTATTAGATTATTTCTTAATTGAGTCAATAGATCACTTGAAATAGAGTTTCTGAGGTGTCTTCCAGTGAGTAAGAGAGGCGTATCTTAGTGCAAAGGTTATGCTGGTAATCTCGCTCGCAGGTCTTCCATATGGTCACCCATTTCTAGACTGCATGCTTGCTTTTGGGATTGTCAAGTAATTTTGAGTAAGTAAATCAATAATGTGTGTATTATAAAAACAAGCATTTCACTGTTGAAGCCAAATGCTCATCTCATAAGCCTGGTGTTCACTTGGTCCTGGCACATAAGCCCGTGTGTAGCTGTGAAGTAAGACACGCTCCTTACTGTTCCTCTGTATCAGATGCTTTTTGTAATACATTTTTAATTGTATGGATTTATCCTGAACTAAAGTTACTAAATTTGCATTTGGTTATGATCCTGACTTGTGTTAGGAACTATGCATTCCTTTTAATCAAATGTTTGACATCAAATTTCTCTCTTTCTCTTCTATTGAAGGAGAGAATATACCAAGGTAAATCTCTTCCCGTTGGTGTTTGGGAGGACTTTTAGGCAGGCTAGGAGCGACAGTGACTTTGGTGTCTGATTTGACTTACTAACTGCTCCACATTTTACTGTTGCTACTAACCATGGTATAGTGGGGAAGGTGATGGTACTGGCTGAGGTAGGAGATGTGGGGGCAGGGGTGACTGCTTACTTGGAGCAGACCGAGCGTGGCTGGACCACACAGGTGTGGAGAGAGGACAGTGTGTCTGTGCCAGGGACACCTCAGCCCCTATAGGTTTATCGGCACAGGAGCTCGAGAGACAGCAGTATAGATCCGGAGCCTGAAGTGTCTGTTTCTCTTAGCAAATGACATTCATTTGAAGTGATCCGTTTTCAGAGAACAAGTGCCTTTTGTGAAAGGAGCCTCTCCAACTGTGTAACATTTTACTGTATCTCCTGCCTTTGCAGTAATTGATATCTCCTCAAAACAAGTGTTACTATAGTTTTCTTAAAGTTTAACAGTGTCCTGTGCACTGTTGTTGTTAGCTGCGGGTCTCTGGAAAGGCAGGTGGTTGTGCTAAGCCCTGTCTCTCACAGAGCCTCACAGGTGTCCTTGCTGCTGAGACACTGTGCAGCCCAGTTCCATTTAGTGCTCCTAATAACCTGGCTTTTTCCTCTTTTTAGTCACTGAACAGCAGACTGCCGAGCAGGTGAAGACTGCCACAAAGGACAATGCAGAACTTGCAGAAAAATTGTCAAGTTATGAACAGAAGGTAGAATCTGTTTCCCGGGCCCTCCTCTAGTGTGTCTGTGGTGTAGTTCGGTTATTATGGTATTTTGAAGGCCTGTGTTTTCGCTTCATCATTTCCTCTGAGCCCTCCAGATCTTACGCACCATCATATGTAAAGCGAACACTCTGCTCGCTTCTTTGGAACAAGGTTTTACTAGCACAATGACTTCTGTTACTTAGTTCTGAATGTGTTTTTTCCATAGATCAAGGAATCGAACAGGCTTATTTAGGAGACCAAGAATCAAAATATGATTCTCTCTGATGAAGCAAATAAATACAAGGTAAAAGTCCTTCTCTTTTTGGGATTATAGTCTAAAAACAAAAGCAAGCATTAATGATATTGTTACTTTTAATCTCTTTTCTTGTAGGATAAAATCAAGCTGCTTGAAGAAAGCAATGAATTTCTGGATGATAGGACCAAAACTCTTGGTGATATGTTAGAATCTGAGAGGAAACGCAACATGAAAAATCAGGATTTGGTGAGTTCTGCTGCTGCGTGTTACTACAGGTATATTTTTAGCTATTTCATAAATTAGTTGAGCTGTTCCCATGCTGTTAACTCCATAAGACTAGGAATAACAGAACTGAACATGCCTGAACCCATTTTGTGGGATTTTTCGTACTAACCCATTAGGATGTTTTTATAGGCACGGGAAGTGTTTTGATCCCGAATCTTGGATAATTTCATAGTTGTGTCCTCCAGAACACACACAGTCACTAACAAACTGGTCCAGTTGAGTAGTCTGTGTAAACTGGTTTTATTTCACAGTAAACTCTGTGCCTTTTGAATAGTCTGAAAATCCCTTAAGTGGAAATGTCTTGAGGAGAGTTCTCATGCTTCCCGCCTCCTGTGTGGCCTGGTCCTTTGCTCAGCACAGACCTGGTGAATTGCCCATTTTCAGTCCTTTGTGCACCACGCTCTTTGGCAGCAAGTTATGACACACAACCTGCAGTTAAAAGAACGGTGGGTTAGGGTCACCCCCTGAGCCAGTATTGTCATAAATATTGAGAAATTTGGCACATGAGATTTTTCTATTCCCCCAGAAACACTTTGTTTTTCTGTTGTTTTGTTTTGGTTTTGTCTTTTTGAGACTGGGTTCTGTTATGCAGTTCAGGCTGGCTGTGAACTCACCTTGTACCCTAGGCTGGCCTTACACTCTCCTCTCCTGCCTCAGCCTCCTGAGTGCTGGGATTACAGGCGTCCACCATACCCAGCATTCTTACCATTTTTAATTCAGACAAGAACATGTTTAAAGTGATCTTGGAGCTTTTTTTTTGGTGGCAGGGATCGAACTCATGACCCCGTGCTTGGCGGGCAGGCATTTAATGCTGCTGAGCTAAATCTCCAGCCCTTTTGGGGCTTGTTTTCCTGCCACCAGAAAAAGCTGTTCATTTTCCGTGGTTTGCTTGAACATTTCTTTATACTATGCTGTGTGGTCACCCTGAAGCTTGCGGGTGCCATGAAACTCTTTAAGTTTTTTTCTTCAGCTCTTTAAGCTGATTTTTTTCCCCAGACCAGGTTAAATCCCGATTTTACCTAAAACATAGTAGATAGTTTGGGGTACCTTGTAGTAATGTTTTTGTTCTTTAGCATATGTATCAGTGTTTCTCCCACAGTCCTAACGCGTTCTGTGTGTTCCTTGCTTCCGTGGCAGGTCCTGGAAAATGAGAAATCTGTGGAGAAGCTAAAGGAGGTTATTTCAATGAATGCCTCAGAATTTTCTGAGGTAAGGTTGCTCACACTCCCTACCGATGTCAGTGTCGAGACTCAGCTGCATCGAGCAGTGGTGACCTGACAAGTGCTGAGAGCCGTGGAAGGCAGAGGCCGTGCATGATTGAGGGGCAGGGCTGGCGCGGCTCGTGAACAGTCGTGTTCTGCATTAGGTTCAGGCGGCCTGAATGAAGGCAAGTTGAGTGAGGAGAAGGTGAAGTCTGAGTGCCACCAGGTTCAGAAGAAAACTCAAGGCTGAAAAAGAAGAAAGATTTTGTAAATGTCTGGTCAGGGTGGCAGATTTTGTAAATGTCTGGTCAGGGTGGGTGCAAAACCCAGCGACTTTAGCTCTGTCATCTTTTCTCATGAGGAGCTGCTTATGCAGGCCCCTGCAGCAAGCTGGGGAGCATCGAGTCTGTCCTCCCCAGCTTGCACATTATTGAGGGCACAGGTGCCTTTTGTGTTGCTCATGGATTTTCAGTTCTGTAAATTGATGGCAGTTCTTGGCCCTTGTCTTGTTAGATACCAGTCATTACTTTGGCCTCAGCAAGGCCAGGGGTTGGCTTTTTAAACCTCAGAGTTAAGGCTTTGCTAAGCCTCCTCTAACAGTTACTGCCTCACATTGGCCATAGGAAAGTTAGATCAGAGATCTGTGATCAACACACACACAATGAGGCCAGAAATCCCACGGCTAGCTGCCGGCAGCTTCCATTTGAATGGGTTATGTTCCTGCTAGGGGGACACACAGGATAGTCCCATTAGGTGATATGGACAGTCCCGCATGCCCTGCAGTGGTGCATGCCAGTGGGAATATGTTAAACCCCAACAGTACATGCCCACATGTGCCATCTGGAAGTCAGGCATTTGAGTCAGCAGGCATTTTTCAGAAGGACTTGATGGATGGGGTCAGCTTCCTTGACAGCTCAGGGTGGAAGCCACACTCTTCGGTCCTGAACCAAGTCTTAGCCTCTGTGATGGGACAAGGAGGGACATGACTCCTGCTTCCCCATCCCACTTGCATAGTCCTGTGCCTCTGTGGAATCCCCAGTCCACAGGGACCCTTCCATGTGACTTTCAGCTACAGCAGGAAGTTGAAGACCAGAAGAAGTTGAACGCTGCACTCAGCGAGCGAATCAGGACGTTGGAGAAGTCTCAGAGGGATCTGGAAGCCACTCTCGCTGATAAGGATGATAGCATTGGTGTAAGTTACCCCGGCCAGCCCAGCCTGTTTGTGAACACTTGGAAAACAAACCCACTGTGAGGATGGAGAGGCTCTTAACTGCCTCTTGCTTCTCTGCTAGGCTCTGACCAACTGCATCATGCAGCTGAATCAGTTGGAGGAGAGTGGATCAGAATCTGAGGGTCCAGGTCCAGGCAGATGTGAGCCAGGTGAATTAGCCAATGGAGAAGTGGGAGGTAAGACTGGCCCTAGCCCAAGGGCCCTTTTTTTTTAACCAGGGATCTAACTCATGACCTTGCACTCACCAGGCAGGTGCTTGTGCCACTGAGCTAAATCCCCAGCCCTTCAAGGGCCCTTTTTTGTCTTCTTCTCTTTATTGTTATTTTAGACAAGGTCTCTATGTAGTGGCTGGCCTTGAGCTCACTGTGTAACCCACACTGGCCTCAAACCCACAGCAAATTTTCTACCTCAGTCTCCTAAGCATTTTTGTCTTTAATTCCATACATGGATACTGCTTCTCAGCTGAGTTTCTTCTTGCCCCGACTGACGCATGCAGCTCTTTAGGTTCTTAGTGTGAAGGACCACAAGAGGATGAGAAAATAGACAGACAAATCTAGGGTCAGGTGGAGCCCTTACCCTCCTGATGGGAAGAAAGGAACTGGCCCCTCACTGCAGGGGCGTTTATACCTTTTAGCAACTTAATGTCACGTGACACCCTGTTGTCCTAGCAGCCCACTGTTCAGATTGTCTTGGGGCTTGGTGATCTCTGGGCTGAGGCAGCTTCTTCACATGGCAGCCCCAGGGGCTCTTTGTTCTTGGGCTAGCCATGCCCTGGCCCTACACGTGTGGTCAGTTTCCAGCTTCAGTGGCTCCCAACATCTAAATAATTCGTACTTATGCCTGGGTCACTGGGGTGCAGTAGCAGCAGGCAAGTGGGGAAAGCTGCTTTTCCACCCTTTGAGAACCGGATGTGTACGCTGGGGCTTTGCCTTTGTGTTGGCCTCTGTGCCAGAGAAGAAACCTTCTCAGCTTCTTGGAGATGACGCTCGGGTCCGCACTCACAGCCTCTGCTGTTCTGCGGTTCTCAGGCCCTTGGCCAGGGTCAGCTAGAGTGTGGGGATGGGGGAGCCACAGCCCAGGCTGTGAGGGCAGAGGCTGGAGAGCAGCAGGGTCTGAGATGAGGAAAGTGGTCATGGTGCCACCCCAGCTGCAGAGGGTGCTCAGGGTGCGAGTCTGGACCCACACCAGCCAGCTCCCCCTAGACCATCATGTATGTGGCAGAGCTAGGCTTGCTCAGCCACAGCCCAGGTGGCATGCTGTCTTGGCAAGAGCTCACAAAATCTAAGGGTGCAGTTGTCATAAAAGTCATTGTGTCAGTTCTGTTGGTGAATTGTTTTTCTTTACAGTGTTTGATGAGCATTAGTTTAGTTTTGTGGAAGTCAAGACAACAGTGTTAGAAATGGCACAGGAAGACACAGCCACACTAGTTCTCTTTGTAGGTGGGGAGAATAAGATGAAGACTCACATGCACCAGCTGATGGATGTCTCCCGGGTGAATCCCTTCACAGAGCCCCCCAGGGACCCGTGAGTCCTGACTGTGCCTCACTTTCAAGCCTGTGTCTCTCCCTCACAATTTTCAGACACATCCCGCAATATCCATACTTCAGGAGGATGTCAAACTCCTGCAGGTGAAGCTGAGAGCCTCCCTGTCTGCCAAATGTGACCTGGAAAGTAGGTCCCTGACCGCATGGTGGTCAGGCTGAGCGCTGGCATGAATGAGGCAGGGATGCTGGGAGCCTGGTTCTGTGTCTTTGGCGGTGCCCTTGATGACGTGTCTCACCTCCCAGACCAGATCGTGAAGCTAGGTGAGGACTGCGGCATGCTGCAGGCAGACAAGGCCCGGCTTGAGGAGGAGTTTAGGATGCTGCAACAGAAGGTGGAGGTCCTGAATGAGCTGTCCCAGCAGAAGGAGATGGAGCTGCAGAAGTGAATCCGAGAGATTTTGCCTAGTGTCTCATGCTGGCCATTCCTGTCACTTCTGATTGCCTAGCAGCTTCAATGTGCAGTGATCATAGAGGAAACTTGGGGCCCAGGGTGCTGCTGGTTTCCTGTGATGGCGACCTGAGGCTGCTCCTGCCTGTCTGCCGTCACCTTCATCCAGCTAGCAGTTCAGCCCAGCGTCCCTGCCTCTGTAGCCTCAGCTCCACTGCTTGTTTCTTAAAGCCTAGGGATTTGTCGAGGGCTCAGTACAGCATCTTTGGCATTGTCCTCAATGTGTGGGTTGAAGGAGGGCAGCACTGGCCTCTGGGGCCCACATTTCGCTTTCTGGCTGGGGCCACAGGCTCCTGTCCACCCATTCGGCCTTGCTTGTGTGCTTATCATGGCCTAGGTCTAGAGGAACAGCTCTTCCTAGACAGCATGGGGGCGGGGGGAGGGGGTGCGAGGAGGACTCCGCCTATTGCTTTCCCAGCAGCTCTGCTGGACAATCCTGGCTTCCCTCGGGGTACGCTCATCTCCCACACAGGCAGCTAGAGCCTGGCGCATGCTGTGCTCTTAGCTTGTTCTGTTTGCCGATTAGACAATTACAAGGAGAGGTGAGGTCCTCTCCTCTCCTGTCCTGATCGGCAGCTGCAGCCCACCGGACTCACAGCACGAGGCCCAGCACTCTGAGCCCAGTGCAGCCTCCACAGCTGCTTGGACCAGAAGGGCCCTTCCCGCAGAGCCGAAGTGCCAGTCCCACCAGGGTGGTCACCCGGGACGCCACAGGTGGCCGGCACTGGGAGAACGGAGGGTCAGGCTGTGGTTGAGCCCTACTGAGCCTCAGTTTTCCTTATCTGTGAAGTCCAGTGCATCACTCAGCTTCCTGGCTCAGGGGAAGGGAAATGCTTTGAGCAGACCTGGGCTGCTCCTCAGGATGTGTCCGCGTGTCCCTCTTGCTTTCCAGTCCCACACTGGGCTTAAGAGAGTATGCGCCCGGCATCCTGCCCGGATGCCGAGACCTGCCGCTGCACCGCCGCAAGTTCTTGCCGGCACCTGTGCCATTCAGGCCTCCAGGTCCGCTCGGCCCCCGAGAGTATTTCATTCCTGTTCCTCGAATGCCACCACCACCCGCTGGGCCCCAGGATTACCCACCGCCGCCTGCCAGGCCCCAGGACTACCCACCGCCGCCTGCCGGGCCCCGGGACTACCCACCGCTGCCTGCCGGGCCCCGGGACTACCCACCGCCGCCTGCCGGGCACTGGGACTACCCACCGCTGCCTGCCAGGCCCCGGGACTACCCACCGCTGCCTGCCGGGCCCCAGGACTACCCACCGCCGCCTGCCGGGCCCCGGGACTACCCACCGCCGCCTGCCGGGCACTGGGACTACCCACTGCTGCCTGCCAGGCCCCGGGACTACCCACCGCTGCCTGCCGGGCACCAGGACTACCCACTGCCGCCTGCTGGGGCCCCGGACTACCCACCGCCGCCTGCCAGGCTCCTTTTTCTCCTATGGGTCTGCGCTTATTTCTAGGACTGATAAAAGTTCTCTCCAGTTAACTTCAGCCTCGATGTTTGCTGATTTGCCCCCAACTACAGATTAAAGTAATACACTTGTATTGCGCACTTATTTCTGGATAATGGAATGACTTGTTTTTTAAATTTTAGCATCAGGTTTCACTGTCTTTCCTAGGCCAGTCTCAAACCCCTGGGCTCAAGTGATCCTTGAGTGCTTTAGCTGCCTGAGCAGCTAGGATTACAGACCTGACAACCAGTAACTATTTTTTAAAAAACTTCAGTGATGTACAAATATGTTCAGCAGCAACAAAAGAGTGTAAGCGCTGGCCTCTCTTCTGGACCAGAGACGGGGAGGGCAAGTACCAAGCAGATGCCTGTCACCTCCTCAGTACGGCAGTGGTGCCCAGGGCCCACATGGCCTGGATGCTGCTGGGCTGCACCTGCTTCCCTGTCCCCACTAAAGATGCCCTGAAGGCCTGGGGCTCCCACGGGCCTGGGGTCAGAAGCCTCAGGGACAGGCGAGTGGGAAGACAGAGCACAGGGCTCAGCCAAGGAGGTAAGGGCTTGACAACCTTCACAGGGCAGAAGCCCTTGGCAGGGAGACTGTGTGGTTCTGGTTAGCACCCCAGAGTCAGAAGAAGAACCAGATGAGCTAGAGGCTGGGGCAGGGAGATGGGGGACTGGGAGAGAACGGGGCCTTGTCACACACAAACACACACATACAGACCAACTCCTGGCAAGGAAGGGAACTGCCGCATACCGCAGACAGGGCTCATGAAAGCGTGCGTGCCAAAGAAAAGGCTGTCACAGTAAATTTGAGGAGAACAAAAGACAGACAATCTCCAAAACAAGGGTGCAAGTTACAAAAAAGGAAAAGGAAACTATTTTCAGTAAACTCGTCAGAAATGGTTAGTGATGGAACGATATTTCTTGCAGAAATTCTGCCTCATTGTAAAGTGGATTAAAATGAGTTGTCATAGATACAAGACATGCCTCAAAAAAGTGCGGTAAGTTAGGAGTAATGTGAGAGAGGGAAAACCCAACTTGTTACCCTTTACGCTGACTGCAATGTAAGGATCGATGCACTGCCCGGCATCCTTCAGGCCAATCTTCTCGATTCTGATAGTGAACAGTGTCATGCCCAGCTCTGAGGGCAGCCGTGGTACTAAAGTACCTGGCAACAAGGAAGCCCCAGTAAAAGCCAGCTCTGCCAACAGTTTCACAGTACATACTGTCAGCAAACATGGAAATATTCTACCCACTCTCGACCGTAACCAGGCAAGCACAATGCAGTCTGGCCTGCAAGCCTCCTGCACGCTGTTCTTCTTTGCAGATGTATTTTATACAAAACAGTGATGTACACTTCCACATCTCATCACCCTAAAGCAGACATTAATTCAAGTTCAATCAAGGAAAAGTCAGGTGAAAACTTCCAGTAGGTCAAGGAAGCCAGTTATAAATAACCACAGAATAGCTATGGTGTCCTTGTACCTGTGGACATTTGATAGGCCTTACATCTCAGCATTTGGTACGGTGAGGAAGATGCTTTTTAAATAGTTTGCTGTCCTGAAGTCTCAGAGATTCAGTCAAATCAACTCATCCTTTAGTTGCTGTGATAAAGAAGGTCATTTGAAGTTTACCAGTTATACTTAGTTAGGCCTTTTCAGTCCCATTTCTCTTCTCTTTGTCCTGTTCTGTCTGACGAAGCTCACAGAAGTTCCTGCCACAGAGAATGTCACACGACACCACAAAAGCAGTTTGCGTGTTTGAGATCTTCGGATGGCTGGGGGAATTGGGATGCCAGCAACATTACAGACTGGATCAGGAAAATCTCCACAAACCAGGGACTACTTTCCAGAACGTGTGGTTAGCTTAGCACATGTATCAAGGTAGTTCACATTAGCAGATGAGGAGAAAAATTTTTGTAATCTTGTCAACAGATGCAAAAAAAGCCTTCAATTAAGTCTTAAACATTATTAGCAAGTTTTGTTTCGTTTTGTTGTTTTTTGAGGCAAGGTCTCACTGTGTAGTCCAGGCTGGCCTCATACTCATGGTAATACAGGCAATAAAAAGTCATTATCCTAGAACCAAACTACATAATAATGTGGGCACAGCTTAGTCAACACTGAAACCCGGAGTCCTCCCTCAGAGAAACAAACAAACCTCTCCTCTATATGATTAAGTTAAAGGTTACATGTTCTCTTGCTGTTCGATGTCATTTCTGTTTTTCAATGTTTACAGATACATCAGCGCTGTACACAGTACACTCTTCATGGGAGCTGGCACACATACCAGTCAAGCTGATTCCTCTTCAGTCTTCCCTGCCCTCCCTCCTGATGTCACTTTCAATGACTAGAATTTTACAAGTTTTTTTCCAGTGGCGCTTACAGCCCAGGACAGCATGGTTCCAAACCAAGTACAGTCAATTAAACGACACGTTCTCTTTCTTACTCTGAGAGGAGAAAAAATTCACACTAAAAGGGTTCAGTGAGCTTCTTGTATCTCTAGAAGGAAACAGCAAATACCATACCAGAGCACAAAAATCTCAACTGAACTTGTATTTAACTGTATACAGCCAGTGGATTTAATTCAACTCGGCAGCCCCAGCCACATACAGAGCACACCTCTGCGTCTCATGACTTAGCTCTGCTGCTCTAAGGGCTGCGTTTGCCATGGGGCTACAGCAAGGAAGCAAACGGCCAGGCAGGTGGGAGTTTATACAGCTGCAGCTGCATGCGCTGCGGTTAGTCTGCAAAGCAGATTGGCAACATAGCAAGACCTCCACTTAAACACATATAACATAGATAGGAAGAGTAAGTTCTAGTTCTAGTCTTTCACAGCACATATATTGTGTAAACATCTAAAAGGGAGAAGTTGGAAGGTTCCCTGCACAAACAAATGACTAAGGGGCTACAACTGCTAAATATTTCACTTTGATGGCTCTACATTGTATATGTGTACTGGCCTCGAGCTCAAGATCCTCCTGCCTCAGCCTCCTCAGTAGCTGAGATTACAGACAGACATCACCATGCCAGGCTCTTACTATGCATTAGTACATACTGTACTCCATAAATATGTAAAATTTAAAGAAGTAAAATAATGTTGAACAACAGCAAGCCAGCTATGGAAATGGCATGATTGGGAAGGGAGGAAGGCAGAGTGCATACCGACATCAAAGGACAGAGCCACGCCAGGAGCCAGACCAAGCCCCCAATGCACTGGATTGGGCCGTCAACAGTGACTGCAGTACTGAAATGTGTCCTCGGCCGGCTTTTTTAATTCACTGACACCAGCAAGGAACGGCCACTGGAGGGCGCGCCTGCCCGCCTCTGAGTCCGGGCGCTGCGCCTTTTCAGTCCATTCAGTCCTCCTGCGGCACTCAACCCAGCAACAGCGAGGTTGCTGGGAACTCAAGTTTTCACCACTCTGGAGCAGGGACTTTGGGGAATTTTGACTCTATATCCCAATCCTGTTAGGGAAACACTTATTTATTCAGTTTGGGCCTCTCATTTTTTGAAATCAAACAAATACGTTGTCAGTTTTTTAAAAACTCATTTTAATGAAGGAACATGAATTACAAAAAGTCACCAGCCTATCACCTATCACGACTTCTGTGATCAATAAAAACAGAAAGAAAACAAGTTGTCAGGGAAGTGGTGAAATTGCAGGTAGAATTGTGACTGGTACCGGAGGTGCCTCCCGGGGTAATCTCGCCAGGATCTCGGGGTCGGGAACAGAGAACTGAGTGAGACACAGAAAAGGTATCGAGGTACACATTCACTGAAGGGTGGTGACACACGCTCTGCAGGGACAGCATAGTTGGGGTCAGACTCCTGGCAGCTCCAGCACAAGGGCAAGGGGGCTTTTGGAGCTGTGATTCCTGGACTGACTTCTTTCTCATGCAAATAAGCCTTTGGGACATTGTCCTATCAGAAATGCCCTGGGGCTTAAGCCAGGTTTAAACCACCCTATGGAAGACTTGCTTGGTTTCCTGCGGATATAAATAAAGACTTGCAAAGAGGGCTTTTCTGATTGGTTCAGTGTGCAGGACCCAGGCGCTTCAGGGTCATCCTGGAGCCTGTGTTCTGTGCATGTACCCAGTCTCTAAGACTTTGACAGCTTTCTTCCAGCAGGTTTGCCCCGGCCCTAATCTACCTCAGTTCCCTCTGAGGGACAGAATCTCCAGTTCTTCATGGGATGCTGAGGCAGCACTGGCCTCTTCTTACAGCTGCTTCCTGCTGAAAAGGCCTGCAGGCCCTACCTGCTGCTGGGGGACCTGTGCTCTCTGACTACCCTGGATGTGGGGCTCACTGGCTGGGCTGGGAGAATTTGTCAGAAGACAAGGAAAGGGCTGAGGATTTAGCTCAGTGGCATAAGTGGTTGCCTGGCAAGTGCAAGTTGTGAGTTCAATCACACACACACACACACACACACACAGAGAGAGAGAGAGAGAGAGAGAGAAAGAGAGAGAGAGAAGGAGAGAAGAACTAGTGCCCACATGTCAGGAACTGTCAAACTGCCTGGCCAGTGGGAGAAAGCTGTAGGAGAGTCATGGGCTGGATCATCATCTGAGGATGGATCTGTTGAAGCCTTCAATGGGCAAAGCTTACTACCTACCAGTTTTAAGAGCCAGCAGCCAAGTATGAGAAGGAACAGGTCGGAATATTTCTTGGTCTCTGTCTTGAAAAGTGTACTATGACTGAGCCAGCAAAAAGACAGTGTTTTTCCTTGTTATTATTTGAGACATTTTCTAGGAGTTTTATTTCCATGTGTTCTGTGGACAGGAAAGCATTGCGAAGGGATATTAGGCTACCAAGAGCCTGAGAATGCAGCCCTGGCAAGATTACCCAGTAAAAAGCAGGAGTCCCAGTATCGGTGCCCATGTAAGCTGTGGACACAGTCATAAATCATTCACATCAGCCACCTGCTACATGGAGCAGGGCCCGAGTGGCTGCCTAATATAGTTGCATGCCCAGTGTCCAGATTCCTTGTGTTTAAAACTGTAACTCTTCACTTGCTTGGCCCTGGGTTTCCCTTGGACAACCTGGGTGTGCTTAAGGTACTGCCACTTATGACAGTACAATTTTGGCCTGCCTTTGCTCTTGGTTCCTC